ATATGTATGAGGTGCAGGGATTGGGTCAAGCATGTGACCAGTGTATTCTTTTTCCAGCCTTGACTTTTTGCCAAGGCTGTGTGTCTATATCACCATTTTTATGTATTAATACAGGCACGCGCTAGAGAATCAATAATCAACACGAGACTGCTGAATCCCTTCACGCCGATAGGCGAGGTGGTATTGTTGTTTGTTGCCCGACTCCAGGGTATGACGTGAAATGGTGAACGATCAAATTAGGCGGTAGGGGTTGGAGCTGGAAATACAGGGAAGGTGTGCCTGCTAGCCTGACTGGTATGAGGAGATGCCTGCCCTAGAGCAGGGAAGTCGGGGGCTCTAGCAGCCTGACGCGGGTACTGCTACCTGCTGGAGAAGCATCGAGTCGCGGGCCCTGGAGCGTTGCAAGCGGCAGCCAAGTACCGCTACGGCGGGTTGATGCATGCACTCAATTGTGGGTTGCCAGGCCAACTCCCGCATTGGGAGCTGCTGCCCGTTTACAAAACCGTCCCCGTCGCCGCCACCCAGTTGTTGTCCAACCACTTGCTGCTTCCTGTTCATCAATTTGCTTCCATACTTATAAAAAGACATCTCTCTCCCCCTTTGGCTCATGCGTGCATTGTAATTATTTTTATTCCACTTTCCTCTTCCCTTGGCTGTGCAGATCGTACTCTTTTCTGTGGGAACCATGTCAACCATCAAGGGCAGACCAAGCGACCCTCCGAAATCGCGGAAGGTGACGCCTCCGTCCCCGTCATATATGTCAAGTGATCAGTTTGGTATGTGTTGTGATTTGAGATATCGCAGCCACTCTCCAAGCCTCTAACCTTTCTAATTCCATCAAGCCAAGTATCTCGCCGACCTTCGAACGAACCGAGTGGCACGCCCAGGCGGGGCACGGCCTCAACCTGCAGGAGCTCGTCCAGCTCCCAGTCGAATGAGCACTGGCCGCGCAAGTGCTGGGCGTGAGAGCCTTGTTGAATCCTCCCTTGCGGAAACCCAATCTGTCCCTCCTGAGACCCGAGCTCAAAGCCCAAGTGTCGCTGCTGGCAGCATCTCTTCGCGCTACTCCTCCCCAGCTATTCGCAACCGAGACTCTTTCTCGTCCAAATCGATCGTTCAGCCGTTGAAACCCTCCGAGGTTGTTCCAACCGCCACGTACATTGAGCGGGGCCAACGATGGATGGAGAAGGAAGAGGCATCGTCTTTGCGTGATGCAATGCACGACATGGATCTCAAAAAGAGCTCGAAGAGAATCTCGGTGAAGAGTGCTGAGAAGACGCCTGATGAAGAGTCGCCTGATGAAGAGTCTCGGATATACAATGCTGCTCTGGATGAAGCCGCCGAGCTTGTTTGGCAACATCAGCATCCCAGCGCAGCTCCAGAACCTCATGCTCCCTACCGATACCGATCTCATCTCAAAAAGAATAGCTATGCGTTTGCGCGTACTGCGAGTGTTGGGGGACATCATGAAGATGCCGAAAAGCCAATCTCGGGCTCTCGATCAGTATCTGATAGCTCCACCGGAAGCGAGGGTTACTCTCGAGGTGGCCAGGCCTCGGTCGACGTCCGTCAGTCAAAAGAGCAGTCCCGTCAGAAATCCAAACCATATGGTTCAATGGGGGCCAGCTCCAGCTCGAAGTCAGACCACCGGCGTCGCAGCAGTATGAAGCGAAACATCAGTGGCGAGGTCCAGCGTCCATTCTCGGGCGATCAGATTTGGGAAGAGCCTGAGCCGCCTTCAAAAACAGGCACACCTCGACCAGGAGCGGCGACCGCAGATGCACTGGCTAGCAGACCACACAATCCGCTGAGCCGCTCCCAGCCTCCGTCTGATACGAGTCCTGTCAAACCTCTGAACCGCGTTGAGATCTACCGCAACCCGCCCACGCAGTCTCGCAATGCTCAGTATACCACCAATGCTGAATTGCCCAGAACTTCGTTGGATGATCAAGTGGAGAGAAAGAATGGCGTCGAGGTTCGCAACCAGGACATTCGCAATGCCACAAGTATGAAGATAAAGGACCGCAGCCCCAAGCTCCCAGAGCCAACCGCCGTAAGCGACAACCCCGGGCGGCCAATTGTAAGCTTTGACGCTCACTGGAAAGCTCCCGACGAGTCCACTGATGCCAACTCAGGCCAAACAGAAGCAGCGCCGCGAAGCGGGCTCCAGTCCAAGCCCACGTTCCAGCCCCAGGTTGTGGACATCCCTACTATTGCTGTGGAAGAAAGCGACCCGTCGCCATCACGTTCGCAGCGCCCTACGACCATTCCGTCATTCAGTATAGGAGCTGATGACGGATCAACTTCACGCCCATTACCCCTTACGACCATTCCATCCATCACCATCGGTGCAGATGATGGACCGGCCTCGCGCCCTCGACCCAATACGAACATCCCTTCTATCAGCATTGGAGACCATGATGGATCATCTTCACGCCCGGTGCCTTCGATCAATGTCCCTGATATCGCCATTGATGAGCCGACGAATCGTCCCAACGTCCCTGTGATTTGCACACCTGATGATCGCCCGGCAGCAACTCCAAGGAGCCTCCCCGACCCCAAGTTGTATGGTCAGCGACGCCCACGTGCTCCCGTTCCGGCAGGACGTGGCCACTGGTCGCCTGCCCCAGGAGCGGCGGCCCGACAGTCTGCGAAGTGTCACGAATGTTTCCATCCAATCGAAGGAAGGTTTGTGGCTCTTGCTGGATCGTCAGACAGGTTTCACCCACAATGTCTGCGATGTTTCACCTGTGGCATGGGGCTAGAGGCAATGGAGATCAGTCCTGAGCCGGACCACATACGGGCAGAACGTGTTGATCGGATCCGTCGTCGTGCAGCTGGTGAGATCCTGGATGAGACTCCAGGTATGACCATGGCTGAGGATGGAGACGATCGACTCCGGTTTTTCTGCCATCTTGACTGGCATGAGCTGTTCGCGCCAAGGTGCAAGCATTGCAAGACTTCTATTCTTGGCGAGCATATCGTGGCGCTGGGAGCACACTGGCACTACGGTCATTTCTTCTGTGCCGAGTGTGGTGATCCCTTTGAACATGGAATGACACATATCGAGAAAGATGGTTATGCGTGGTGTGTCAAGTGTCAGACCAAGCGTACTGAGCGCCGTGCCCCAAAATGCAAGAAATGCCGTACTGCTGTGATTGGGCAGTACATTCAGGCCTTGGGTGGCGAATGGCATGAGCACTGCTTCCGCTGTGCTGAATGCCAGGGCGGGTTTGACGATGGTCAGATCTTCCCAAAGGAGATCCCTGGTGGAATGGAGGTGCTCTGCACTGGTTGCAGAGCCAGGGAGCTTAAACGATAATTAGCATTAGAACGACGTCCATGATTTCGGTTGGTTTGCGACGGTGTTTGTTTTTGCATGGCTTGGGATTTGATTTCTGTAGATTGCGACCCTTCGATTGGAGGATTGATCCAGACTGTAATAATACAAGATTGTGTTTGGGCATCAGTCTACTCAGGGAACTCTTGTGACCACATGCACATTCTCTGTGAGGGTTGTGATTCCAGTACCCTCATTAGAAATTCATCTTGTGATGTTCGTGAACTGACTTTCTATTCTCGTATAATATTCACCATGTAGTTTTCCATCTACGGTGACGTTCATTCAAACCCCTTAACTCCAAGATTGCTGATTTTGCTTGACCAAGGAGCGCCTAGAGGAAGATGCGGACCAGAAACATTCATGAAACCATTCATCATCCACCCTCCAGAGATGGCCTGTTTCGGAATCTCCAAAAATAAGAGTTGGGAACCGTAACAGTTCATCGTGCGCGTGTCATACCCAAATTCCTTAAACCATGTGTCGTCGCGACCCACCCCAACAGATTTCTGGCGGACACCGCTAGAAACTGCCTATTACCATCCGCCGACCTGCTCCTGATGGACGTCTAGTTGATCGCCATCCGTCATCTCCAACTGTGAATAGCCTTTTGTTAGTTGAGTCCTCGCACGTAAAGTAGAGATAGAGTTGGGGGAGAGGGGGGGGGGAGAAGAAAGTCAAAGTTAACGTACGGCTTCCGGTGTATCGGAGGGCTGCACGCGGGTGCCCTCAAACAGGAACCGGACGGAGCTGATGGACTTTCCCTGCCTCTCGCAGAACGCGGTCATGAGCTTCTCGAGCTTGGTGGTGCGCTTGATCTTGAAGAAGATCTCGTTGTTGTTGTCGCTGACTTTGATATTCAGGTGCTCGGCGCCTGGGGCGGCGTCGGGGGGTGGCACTGGGGTGCCGTTCTCGTGCTCAGCGGACATGTTGAAGAAGGTTGGTTTGAGGTTTGGTTTGTTAGGCTGTCGAAGAAAGAGAGAGAGGTCAGATGGAAACGTTGAGATTGGACTGAAGGAAAACTGAGAGGGCGGGAGATGGAAGGAAGTGATGCGATTTATGTACTTACAGGTATGCGGCTGGTCTCGTGAAAGCGGTCGCTGGGCCTTTGGAGGCGGACTGAGAGCCTTGCGATGTGGTTGAAAGAAGAGGGAGGAGAAGGTGAGGTGGCGACTGTTGAGAAGGGACGGGTGCAAAAGGCAGGTCTATCCGCGCAGAGGTGAGGTTGGAAGAGTGAGCAGAAAGTCTGAAATGGTTGGATGCCAACGATGGCTTGACGCGGGTGCTTGGGCGGGTGCTTGGAGGGCCACTGTTGGCCTGCTGGAGGGAGGTGGGGAGCGCTGAAGGTTATTGGCCAGGCGAGAAAAGCGGTACCCACAGCACCAGGCTCCAGGCGCATTTTTCTCCAGCTGGTTCGCGGTCAACGGCGAGTTAGTCATCAAGCATTGCCTCTCCGGAGCCATGGTTTTGGGTCGTAGGTCGAGGTGGGATAGAAGTTGCATTACTGAGCACGATTACGACATCCACACAGCCCGTGTCCTCGAATTTACAATGGTTCGGTGGTACCCTTGTGCACGGCTTGATTCTGGCTATCAATGACCATACGGGCGGCTAACAATGGTGCACAGGCACTCAATGACGATGTAGAAGCAAGTCCACCATGCCATCCTCGAGCTGTGAGTGCAGATTCCCCTTCCCTTGTCTTTGCTGGCGTTCGGCTCATGATTCTTTCTTAGTGTGCAATTCAAGGTAGGCCACTGCTACAAAAGAACTGAGAACGTCTTCTTGCTAAAGCACTACAGCTTGCTTAACAAAGAATGGGTACAAGGAGGAGAGGTGCCAATCGGTTATCAAAGCCCTCTATGAGTGCTGTGAAGTATTCTACGACCGCTACGGGGACAACGCGACCTCACCTAGTTGCCCTAAACCAAAACTTCTCCGGCTCAAGTTGGAGCAGCTGAAGGGCCAATAATGCTCGGGGGAGTAGGAGCTCCTTGTACGAGGTAGATAAGAGCAGGTGCTGTACGATCCTCAATGGAAACCCGTGTGATGCTGCCTTTGTACGTGTGAAATCTGTGACGCCCGTCCGTTATGTCCACCAGGATAAGTCTCAGGTAACTTTATGAGATGAGCGCCGAGTTTCTTCTTGGCTATCGTTGAGCGCGCGAGAGATCCGCGTGGGACCTGAACAAGTATTGAAAGTATCTTGTTCCGAGACTCTAATACGAATGCCGTGACATTTGTGTAGAGAAGAAGAAAAAGAGAAGCGAAGTTTGCATTTTCGGTGGGTCAATTTGAAGGTGCTCGCAGGGGCTCGGTTTGATGCATAGCCCAGCTCTGCCTCTGCCGTATCGTTATAAACGGGCTGCAGTGCTTGGCGCGTCGTTGTGAGCCCAGCGCATGTCGTGTTAGGTGTGGCACCCTGGTAACAAAATCCCAACCGCTAACTCATTGGCGATCTAATAAACAGACCCGAAGAGTGTGAAGGTCAAACTGTATCACAACAACGGCCCTCAGCGACGACCTTGGCCAACATTTTGTTTTGTCATGAGGTAGCGCACGGAAGAGGCGCATTGTCCACATTGCATCTATCTGCGGATTCTTCTACCCTTCGCAACTCTATTTAGCATCGCCTAGCTCCAGCCTTTGTCCTTTTTTTCGAAACAAGTCGAACCGCCCTCGTCGAAGCATAAGAACAGCTTGCCGAGCTGCCTTGAACAGTCGAAAGGATAGACCGACATCATCGAGCGACTTTTACTCGAACATTTTTCAACCTGATACCCATGGCTAGTATGGAGCTTGACATCCCGTTGGCGCCTCCAGTTGAGAAGCTGGAGGACGAGGAAGAGGGAGTAGCTGCAATCGAGTTGGGCATCGAGTTTGAACAGTTTGCGAATTCCCTTGACGACTGTCTTTCGCCTCTTCTTTCAGAAACCGAGAGGCGAGACAAATTATTGGACATACCGCACAAATACTACGAAAATGCGACCAAACGATTAGCACGGCTCAAGGAAACCAAGCTTCACCGGCCCAACGACGATGTTGATATGGATACGGACGACTTTGGAGTCCAGGCATTATCGTTGGAAGAAGAAAAAGAGATTGCGCAGCTGGAGCGGGAGGTTCAGACTTGGGATTTACTGCGACGGGTTTTGCCTCTGCGACACCCATCCTCCGAAAGCAAGGAGCAACTCTCCCGCTTCCAGAAGCTGGGCGATCGACCCAACAAGACTCTTTCTCTAGATCACTTTTTCCAGGTTGACCCGGTCGCTGCAGAACGCCGAGCTGTCTTGCAGTGGCTTCAAAACAATGCAGCTTCAGGCCCCGATATCGATGAGCTCTCAAGGGAGTTGCAACAAAATGCTGACCGGGGGGACATAATATCCCACGGCTGGCTGCATACTCGGTCCGCGATCAAAATGAAGAAGGGACTTACGGGCTGGCCTCATCTGCTCGACCGCCAGTCCGCCGACACCAACAAGTCACACATCACAAGCACTGGCGCGCCTCTTGTGACTCAGCTGGACCCGGATGCTCCATCAAGGCAAGGCCGTAAACTGCAACCACAAGACGAATACTTCGAACGCGCGATTTGGTTGGGCTGTTTCGAGCACCTTCGCCGGGGGAGCAGCCTGGACAAGATCCGAGAGTGGTGCCAGGAGAGGACGGAGTTGTGGAGGGCTGTTTCCACGTCAGCTTTACTTCTACCCACAGACCAAGATACTGTGGAGGCGGAGGCAGATCCGCTTTCTTTGGCTCTTTGGCGCCGGATGTGCTACAGCCTGGCGCGCCAAGGCGGATCTGATGATTATGAGCGTGCTGTTTATGGTCTTCTCTCCGGAGATATCTCAAGTGTTGAAAAGGTAGCAACGAAGTGGGACGATTACCTGTTTGCCCATTACAATGCTCTTCTTCGGACACAGATCGACACGTTCCTGTTGTCGCAATGCGATAGCGGTGCGGTATCGAGCTTGACCACCACGTTCCCATCATTCGACGCCATTCAGTTCCATGGCGACGCTGAGCGTGTTGAGTGGCGTCTGGTTCGCTCCATAGAGACTCAGAGTACGACTCTGAGGTATGAAGCTTTTGAACCTAACAAAGCCCTCCAGGCATCTATTGTTGCCAAGGATGTCGATGAGTACCTCTTCCAGCAAGGAGAGTCTTTAGGCATAACCCCTAGGTATGATGACCCTTCGGCCGTTGTGCGTATTGCACGTAGTCAACCCGAACGTAAGGCTGTCAAGTTTTTCGGTCTGAACGATTTTGATGGGCTTCGGATTGTCGGGCATGTATACGTCCTTGTTACACTGCTGGACAGGCTTGACAGGCAAGCCGAGGGCGCCCTCAGTAAGCCCGTGGACCAAGAACGGCGGTTCGCTCAAGAGTCTATTATTGCTCTATACACAGACCTGCTCAGGCGGGCCAAGCTTCAGGAGTTGATTCCTCTTTATTGCTCTATCCTGGATCAACCTCGAAGCTACAGGGTCTTAAGCCAGAATTTAATCCATATCAGGGATTACGAGCAACGCCTCACTCAGCTCAAGCTGATAAAAAAGGCCACCATCGATGTCATTGAATTCGTCACTTCACAAGCAAACACGCGCTACCAGACTCTTATGTCGATCAACGCAAATACTTTCGAGGCGAAAAAGAACTTCAAAATATTGGCTGCAGAGTCGCCAAGTGCTCGCCTCGGACGTGGCGTCAAAGCAGATTTCTTTGGTGACGACGATAAGTTGGTTGAGAATCAGCATGAGGAGATGATTAGGGCTTTGGAGTGGCTATTGATGGTTGACGAGACTTGGGCATTGGTTTTCTCTTTCGGAGTCAACGTCTACAAGTATTTCCTTAGTATGTTTCTTTCATGGCTCCAGCGAACAGTTGTTGTTGATTTATTTGTGCTAACGAGACGTCTAGAACATATGCATCTTCTGGCGGCGAGGCGACTTCTGGAGAGAGTTTCGTTCATCGAAATTATGCAGGGAACTGGCTTGGACGATGATGACGAGGCCATGGATAGGATCACATTTTGGTCTGATCAACTCAAAGAGAAGAACATTACTTCAGTTGCCCCTGAGAAAGTCATGGCTGACGCACGCAACTTCCGAGAGTTGGAGTCGCTTGTGCGTGCCTTGGACAGCTTGGAAACTATCGGATCTCTGGTTGAGATCTCAGCAGAGTACGTCGCATCTGTATTTCTTCATTGCGTCGAAGATGCTAACCAAAGCAGTATTCCTCCCAACAACCGCGAGTACTGGGGTAACTTTGGCGCCGCAGCGCGCACCGTCAAGGAAAGCATGGAGCCACTTTTGAAGAACTGGTTGCTTGCTGGCATCCAATGTAAGTCTTCTCCACTTGGCATATTAGGAATGAAAGAAGAAAGGATTGGCTGACGTGATGTATCAATAAAAGCTGGCGATGGTGAGCTCAAGGACTTGCGACAAGTTTATCTCCCCGAAACAGTGTTGGCATACGTTAGCGCCTTGCACATCTCTGGCACTTCCCTCTCGCGGGATTGGCTGTTAGAGTGCATGCAGCTTGCCGCTGTGGTTGCTGAGCGCGATTCGGATCTTGAAGGCACCTTTGTCGAAGCCAAGCGCGTTAAGGAGCTCCTGGAGGCGTTTACTGCTTGCAGCAAGGCCCTGGCCATTACAACCGGCGACAAGCGCGCCGCAAGCCAGGGCAGCAAGAAACTCCGTGAGATGGGATGGTCGCGGGATCTTTGGTCCGTCAAGTCAACTTAAGTAGAGTAGAGAGCGAGGTTTATTTCGGAGGGAAAGCGGCTTTCAGTGAAAGCGAGTTCATGCAAGTAAAAGAGCAGCAACTGGGTATAGGCAGGCAGAGGGTCTCAGAACGACATTCAGCACAATGATGTCGAGGCGTTCAGGGAGAATTCGAGGTGTTCCGTTTTTCTTTGTTCCATGGGTTTCCCTCGGCCATTGAAACCCTCGTGGAAATGTAAATGATTAATAGTACAACAAATAGCTAGAGGTTTTGGGTTTGAATCGGATTGCTTTTCTTTGTTGGTCGACGCCTGGCTCGTATGACGGCATAGCTATTCTAACCTATGAAGAACGGAGAGACGCGGATCCTTTCTCCTTGATTTGATTATGAAGACAACCTTAAAACTAGAAAGGAAATGCTTCGAGGGGGATCTGATGACAATATAGATCGTACATCTCGGCTCGAGCCGGCTTAGCCGTAGGCCACGGGAGGGAGGCCCGAAGATAAGGAAGATATGTCGTCAGCAGCTCCACCCCCACACTTAAAGCCAACCTACTGGTGATACTGCATCAGTGACAGCTGCATACTATATCCCACACATTGCTGGCGAAAGAGAAGCACTTGGCTTTCCGACACCAGGCCATTCCACACAGCAGCCATGGCGAGCTTCGCAGCAGATGTGCCTGGCCCGACCCCAACGCCTCCCGCGCCGCCTCCAAAACCCGGCAGCCACGACGCCAGCGGCATCAGCACCCCCACGGTCTCTGGCAGCGGCAACTCGGGACCTGCATCACGGCCAGCATCCGCCATCGAAGGCCGCCCGCTCCCTGGTGCCATTGAGCCGCCGCAAGCCAGCATACCAGATCCCGGCCCGCAGTGGCTGCCGCGCATCCTCCAGGACAAGTCGTAAGTTTACCTACCATCTTTCGCTCTGGAAACCTCACCGCTAAACTATATGCTAGAAAGCAAGACATCGCCGACATCCTCGCCAACCCGGCCCTCCTCGACGCCCTCACCCAGTCCCCGCAGACGATCCACCCCTCCCTGCAGTCCTCGCACGCGGCGCTCCAGCGCGCCCTCGCCGACAACGTCGACCTGGCGTCCCACATGTCCGACCTGGAGACGCGGCTCTCGCGCCAGCGCGCCGCCACGCAGGCGCAGCTGCTGTCTACGCACGCGCTCGAGCGGCAGTGGCGCCAGAAGCAGTCCGGGATGGACCACGCGCTCGCGCCCTTTGCGCCGGCGAACCTGTACCAGCGGCTGAGCCAGGGGGTGCAGGAGCAGGGGGGGATCTGCCAGGCGATGGAGGACAGCTTCCTCGAGGGGGAGGAGGAGGGGAGCATGGCGACGGAGAGGGAGGCCGGGGACTGGATAAGGAGGTATAGGGAGGCGAGGGTACGGTATTATCTCAGGCAGGAGCGGAAGGAGAGGTGGGATGAGGGAAGGGTGGGCGGGTGGAGGTAGACGGAGATGGGTTCGTTTAAAAGGGGGGATGCGTTTGATGTTTATGGAAGATGAGAGCATATATAGAAGAAGGGAATGGGTAGACTCTCTGTGGTATTGGTCGTGGAAGGAGGTATTTCGATTCAGTCGGTCATCCTGACTAGCACGGTGACGGTTGTTGTCACTGTATCATCTGTTGTTCTTCATGCATAGCGTTATGGCCCAGGATATCTTTTCAATCAATCACTTGGGCTTTGTTTTAAGAAGAATATGTTACTTTTACTCTAAAAAACATATACAGGGACCGGCCCTTCCCCTATATACCCATCAGCGAACAAAATGAGTCGACTCAAATTGACGCCTATAACAACACCAGCAACGACGCTCAGACAGCCCGCCACACCAACTTATATAACAGGAAAGAAAACAATAAGAAATATAAGAATATAAAAAGAAATCTGTCGAGAGAGGTCATCTAGTGTGGGTAGGTCTCCCATATTGATCTGTATAGTAGTTACTTGAGGGTATCAATCATGCTATGCGTTGTCCTCCACGCTGTTTAATTCATAATACAAACCCTCCTCCCTGTTCACTGCATCCTCATAGGATGCTGAAGGGGCTCTTCTTCATTTCTGGGCTACGAGGGCTCATGGGTAAGGCGAAGAGGTCCTCTTCGGCATCCCCCGTGGCAGGTCTTGGTATACCAATATCACCTCTGGCGATGGCATCCAAGGACATGGGAGCCCCGGTGCTTTGACCCACGGATCTAGAGATAGATGAAAAGGACGAGACGGCGACGTCGCTCCCGATGGGTGACAGGGTCTGAGACTGGCTTCCCGCGGTGATGAATGTGTTTGCTATAGACGAGACTTGTCAATACATGAGATCTACGACCATCACTTGGCTCGTCGGCCGAGCTGACGATGATAGGACCTTGGGGAGGAAAGGAAAGATCGGAACACACCTGAAGGGGTCAAATCATCAGGGGAGGTAGCAAGTCGCAAGCCCTTGAGCTTCTCCCCCAAACGGCCCGAAGCACCTGCAGACCGTGGGGTGATGGGACTTGTACCCGGCCCTGAGCCATGGGCAACGGGAGGTCGCAGGAAGGTGTCGATGATCCATTGCTTCTCCTTCAAAGCCATCTCGAGACCAACACTCTCCGGATTGGTCTTCATCTCAAAGTCCATCTCACGCTCCAGCTGCTTTACACGCTTCTTGGCCCAGATGGTATGCAGAACGCCCCGGGTGCCCCGGCCAGTTTCGGCGTCTAGGAAGCCCTCGGGGAAAATGGCCGGTAGAGGGATGAGCTCGATGGGGGCCTTCCCCGGGAGGGTTATGGTGACGGTTTGAGGAATGGAGGCGGCGGGGGGCAAAAGGTAGAAGATGCGGCGACGAGGCGGGCTGTCTCCGGAAGAAGACGACGTCGACTCGGCCTCGGTGTCCTTAGCGGGAAGGAAGATAGACTTCCCGGCCCATGAAACCTGAGCACCACCTTGCGTACTAGCGGTCGTGTCTTGGACTGCAGTGGCGGCCGCGGCGGTGGCGGCCTCTCCGGTTTGGGCCTCCGGCGCAGCTTCAGGAAGCCACTCCACCATGAGGATCTTTGTGCCGGCATCGCTGAACTCAAAACGAGCGAGGTGAGGAGTATCGATGACGGGGTCGGCGGTTGTGCCGGCCGAGGCCTGGTCTGGGCCGTCCTTACTCACAACAGCAATAGGCGTCTGGCTGGAATGAGAGCCAGACGCAGGCCGAGGAGCCTCCGGGGAGGGGTCCATTGTGTGTGGGTTGACAGAGCAGAGTAAACCAGAGCAGAGCAGAGCCTCCGAAAGCCCAGCAGACCAAAGCAGGGCAAAGCAGAGCAGGGCAGACTGACGATACAAAGACTGCTTTCGGTTCTAGGCTAGCTTAGCTTGCTAGGGAGCTACCTTACCGTCGGGTTACAGATGGACAGAGAAGATGAAGAGGGTATGATATGATTGGATAGGCAACTGGGGAGGGGAGCTCACGGCCGGGCCGGGGCGCAATAGGGAGGGAGGGAGGGCGCGAGCGAGAGAATGGGCTGGGGAGAGGCAGCGCGTACTGTGAGTGGTGAGCGAGTGTGAGCGTGATTGTGCAGCCAACAGGTTGCAAGCTGATGTGGTGCTGCGACAATATGTCACCCTAAGAACTAGCTGAAGCTGAAACAGCAGCACGCAGTGGGCAGAACCGGAGCTCCAGCAATCAGAGCAAGTGGGCGTGGGGAAGGGACGAAATCTCACTAGGTGGTATTACGCAGGCTGTTTGACGGAGACAGAGGAGGTATTAAGGTCAGAATAGTGTGTTTACAGCATGGCGGGGTGCTCAGCGCTGGTCTTATCGAGGCAGCCAACAGGCGATATCAAAGTACTAAAGTAATATACGATGGATCAATCGATGGATCCAGAGCATCGAATCCAGTCAACAAGCAATCAGTCGATCCATCGGCCATTGGCCTGCGCCTGCCTGCTGCATGATCACTGCACCTGTACCTGCACCTGCCCTGAGGTACTGAGGGGATGGAATTGGGGAAGGAGGGGACGGATGGTCCTGCAGTTTGAGAAGAACGCACGCGATGACGAGCAAGAGCAACGAGCTGAGATCTCATTGGCGAGCTCGCCGACGATGTTGCATCACCACCCTGGTCTACAGGCCTTTGGCGTATAATAATTAATTCGCATGATATTGTATTATATTATGCCAATCCGTCATGCTGGGTGAGAGTGAGACTTTTATTTAGGATTGCGGAGGAGCATTGGCCTTTCGATCGACCCGCTGGTAACTGTTTTGAGGTACCTGGCGCCTTAACTCACAACTAAAAGGATAAAAAGAAGACAAGAGAATCATAGAAAAGGAGGAATGAAAAGACACGCCATAGCAGTTATGTTGGCATCACCGCAGGTCCCAATCCAGTATATACAGCCCTTGGAAGGTTTCCAGGATGTCGAGAGTCCATATCTTGGCCGCTGCGTAAGATTAGCCGGTTCAGATGCAGGGTCTAGCTTCAAAAAAGCTTGGCTTGTTTCGCATCTGAGGGGATAATTACCAAGTCGTCGCAATTTGGTTTCTTAGTAAGGATGCAAGATATTACATGGAAAGGAGATGGTTATCAGAGGCTTCTCAAACCCAGAGCTAAGCCATACTATTATCGATAGCCCTTTCTCGCGGCCTCGTTCGGGATGTCCTCGGTGCTCTCTCTGCCGACTCGGCCAGATTGACGTCGTTGAATTTACATGGCGCATTATCTTATCTGTGACACATTGGAAACATGTGGCATGGCTCGGGGGTTACTCCATTATGGTTTGTAGTCATGCTCGGCTGCTGCAAGATAACATTCAAATCAAGTACATGATGCATTTGTGATCGTGCGTCTCGGTCAGGACATGCATGTCGTGTGTGTAGCGGGCGTTGAGCTCTTCACGTGGGAGCACTAGATGCATCTGAAACCAACACGATATGCCACAAGGCAATTAATAATCCGCCGATCACGATTCTTGACAGGATGTGTTCAATATGTATGACGGGGGTTTCGTGAGGGCTGGGATGCACAGTCATAGTGCTACATAATGCCATGCCATGTACGACGCATGTCGCAGTTGTGCGTGCGTTTGGTGATCAATCGCTTGATACGTCCTCCTCCTGCGGAACCATATTCAGCCGACTAGGATGAATGCAATTTACCCGCACATTCACGGCTGCCCGTCTTGGTCAATGCGGCCGTGCATCTATAAAACGATAGAACAACGTGGTTGAGCACCTTAGTCACCATGATTCCCGTCGGGAAAATACCGGCCCAACTTGTTTTGCAGTGGCCGACGGGCAGCCACTCCCTTGGCCCAAAACGGCCGGAGAAGCGCCGTTCGTAGTGCTACATTCTACGTACGCATACTGGCTGTCAATTCAGTCGCCGTAGGTCACCAGTTGACTTTAAAGATCGGTGTGCCTGAGAATGCGATACCCGCGATTTGAAACTTGGAAAAATAACCCGATCGCACCTCTGCCGGCAGGCCCCTAACATATGCATCCTCATCCTGGACTCTTGTTTTCTGTTGGCAAGCGGTCCACTGAGGTTGGCTCCGGGGTTGCAGCGAAACGGCATGTGGATTTCGGGGCATGAGGCAGACCGTATATTACTGTAGCTTGCGACAATGTGACGCAGGCGTTGTAACACAACCCTCATCGAGATGGCACCATGGAGATGGAACGGCAGAGGGATCATGTTCTCACGCACACGGGACATCCATCATCGGCATTGAGATGCACGGAACATGGATCTACGTATCATTAATCCGTATATGCAGCTTAGTCTGGTGCCGGCCCATGGCAGCCTAACATTCGGAGTGTCACTACACCACCTACCTCTTTGTGAACCGGCCGGACATATAATTGGTATCCAGTCTCTGGAAAAGGGCCTGTTGACTGGCGGTAGAGCCGACACAGGACCGAACAATTTGGATGGCTATTAGCGTGGCAGGTCGAAAATGCAGCGCGGGCGTTTATCTGTTACCGGCATTTTTGTCTCATTGTTTGGTGTTGATCATTAAACTCTCGCTAAACGCTTGCGCTTCATTCGCGAGCGACGACGGGATCCCGAGGGGTCTGAAACAAGCAAACAGTACCCAATGCGCTGGCTTGCTGGAAGAAACTCAAAGAGTCGGACTCTGTACTCACATTTGCCGCTGGTATTCTGAATCCGAGTCCACTCCCACTCCTTCGGTCTCGAGGCGAGGATGCGGCGCCCGAGAAGCGAAGGTAGGCGAGACATGAAAGACACAGTGGCAGAAGAGAACACGCCCACGCGTCAATGTTTCGGCTGGCTCCTTCTCGACTGCCCGGGATTCATGAGAGAGGCTGGAAAGGCTTGCGATGCTACAGGCCCTGGCGTTTTGAAGCCGCATGTCAGCGTTGATGGATGGCAAATGGAGGCAAAACGCAATCGATCAAACTTCCCTGTTGGGCTTGGTGTGATCGCTGCATGGCTCAATGGGCCTGGGGATTGGGCTGAG